GTTATAAACTTTTATGCATCATTATCTCACTCGGGAACAATGCCAAGCGACATTGGCCTGCCTGGTTCATGTTTGTACAATAAACCACAGCTTAACATCACATGAAACTGCAGATCTGCTGTGTTTGTGAACACGTGTTTACACGTCCTTAGGTTGGTACAACTCCTGTGTGCGTAACCTACTTTTTTCCACTGACCTATTTGCCGGATTTTTCGTTATTTATATTGCAGCTTGTGGTCCCATCTTAAAATCAGCAGGTCCTATATTTATTGATTTTATGATATTAGAAAACTCCAATTATCACCAACGTTTACACCGAATCAACAAGCAACAATTAATTTTTAAATATCAGATATAAAAAGAATCATGTGTGTTAATAAACTCCTAAATTATGCATCTTTCCTATAGTATATGTACCTGCTAACTTAATAGTAATAGATCAGTCAGGCTATTTCCTTTGCTAACTTCTAATCGTCATAAACTAGCATGAATGAAACAGCTGTGATATGCGGTCCTATTTTAACAATTTATATGAACTTTTTAAGCTTAGTCTCCTTTTTTAGCAAGGAGAAGATGTGACCTCAGTTCGATTGGCTGACGTGCAGCGATCTGGTTAAACCTCTACCCGCTTCACTTAGAGCATTGATTTGGATGCATCTCACAAGTGGATTCCAGTCCATATGGACGACAAGCTGGACTTCGAAAAAATTAACATCTATACAAGAAGCAGACTGAGGCCCTTTTAATGAGCGTGTTGAGTTGCAGCAAATATTTAATCTCCCCCTAGGAGCTGATGTCCTCTTTTTTTTTTTTTTTTTTTTTTTTTATTTTTTTTTTTTTTTTTTTTTGCGGTTTTGTGTTGCAGGCTTCTGCCTGACTGGTGCTTGGCAGGTGCCTGGACTTTTAAAAAACTGTGATGGAGCTGTGAATAGAGTGAAGCAGGAGCCATAATGGACCATTAACTGGGGCCAGAGTTTTCTCCAGCTCTATGGAGTATAGAGCAGTCAGCATCATCATTTTAAACCTTTTTTTTCCCCATATACAAACCTTCATAAAACCTTTGTAATTCAAATGAAAAAGAAAACATCTGTCGTGGGGGAAAACGATTCAAATTTTAAATCGGGGCGCATTTAGTCTTTAGTAAAAGTCCATTAGCTTTTTGTCTTTATGTCTCTTGATTCTCCAAATCGATCAAAACAGACATATTTTCTCGGAGGTTCTGCAGGTGAGACCACAGCTTCTCTTTTCAGATCTCTTTCTAAAGTGTAGGTAAGGCATTCCTAAACTCAACGGTTTTCCCTCATCAAGTTATTTTCTGTTGATCTGGATTCATTATTCCGCCTGGTGAGACTGGAAAAAAATGAAGTCTTCTTCGCAGTAAACTTTTTGGTTCTGGACCTAAATAGTCTGATATTCCGTCTGATAATTAAAAAAAAATCTAACAAAGCTACCCTATAGCATGATGCTGCTTTAAGTATGCTGTTTTTATGGGATTGTAGCTGATCATAGCACTTTATTTCATACAGTAAGGTGATTGGAGAGTTTCTGTACCTTTGTACAGTAAGATTGCATAAATGTTTTCTCGTCTAGCTGCACGTCATGGTTTTATTTTAAATACGCAGATAAGCAAAGTTTAGAAAAAGGTCATGAGGACACTTGAAGTTTATTTTAGATTAGTCAGATGCCATAAAATTTTATGTTATCAAAGACTGAATTAAAACAGCTTAAACAAATTATAGTTTAGAGGTCTGTGTATTTAAATAATGGAGGCTAGAGCAGCTTTTCATGTTGTTCTTTTTTACTCAGTATATCTTAATCATTTTTCTGTTGAATTGATTAACCCATTTTGTTTCAAGTCACCATCCTGATGTGTTATGGGGTAACATTATGTGTTAAAATGACATTAAGTACGTGACTATATAGCTGTAATGAATGTTATCTTGCCTTCAGTTGGAATAATTACGCTCCTTCCCTAAAAAAAAGGCAACAACTCTGATTGTTATTTCTTGAAACCTGCCATTTCAGTTAAAGCCCACTACTCATATCATCATTTTATAATGTATACAGTCAATTACGCCGGCATTTAGCTGTGATTTCTGAAATTAATGTTGTTCATTTATACAATCATGTTTCTTATGGAATGCATGCTGCTTAATTGAATGAGCTGCTTTAAATTTTAAATATGGAATAGCGCATTCATTGCAGCTACCTTTTTATTTTAGAAGCCTCATTTTGAAACTGAAGTGCCTTACAATCCTTTTGGTTCGTTTTTTTTTTTTTATAGGATTTAATCCCACGGTGTGTGCCTGCTTGTGTTGTGTCAAGGGACCCCATAATGGAGTTTTAAACCTATTAAAAACTCCCCCGACTCCACCTAGTTGGCTACAAACATGACAAAGGAAGTCTAAAACTACGAGAGGTTAGAAGTAAACCAAAGTCCCTGCTTACGTGACTATGTAAAAACAAAACAAAAAAAACGAGGCTATTTAGTTTCCTTCCTGTTGCATGGAAGACGACGTGTAAGTTAAAGGAATAAGTACATGTAGATTCATCTATTGCTTTAGATGGACTGAGAAACTTCAGTAGCCGGCTGTTGAAATGCACATTCCTTTGTAATACAAAGAGACAAGAGAAAAGCTGCTAGCAGTGTTTGCTCAAAGATGAAGGATAAAATGATAAGCAGACAGGAGACAATCTTCTGGCAGCCTTTTTAAATTGCTTTGCACTATTTTGTAATTTGGGAACCCTTTAAAACGGATCTGCGGCTCTGCCCTCTCACCTGCATCAAACCACGGAGAAATAAAACAGAACTTTCTTTTAGTTTTTTTTTTGTCTTTTTAGGCTGCTTTTTAAAGCTCCCCAACAGGCCATGGTCTCCGTTGTTTAGCTTCATGTACAGTGGTGTGACTGCTGAGACCTGAGCTTTCCTGTTGTTTATTTCACCTCCTTGGCTCATAGATGCTTGGAGCACTACAGGTCACTCTGATGAATTTGTGTTTATGGCAGAGTTTGAAGGAAAGATGTTATTATTCCATGTTACCTACTAGAGTTCTGTTAATGAAAGCCCGGGATGTTTACATTCGGAGCATGCACTTTGTGTGTGTAAGATGCATGCTGTACCTTAGTGTTTTATTATGGCTTAGATTTAAAGGTTGATTATGAATGGGGGTTTTCTTGGGGAGGCTAGCATGAGAAAAGTAACAATGTTTAGACACTTCGTTTCTATTTCTACTTGTCGAACCTGTGTCTGCACATGTGCAGTAGAGCTCTGTGGGTGTTTGTTTGTTTTAGTGTAAATCAAACCTGAAAGTCTGAATGAGATCCTTTTAATTGCATGTTATCAAGAATCTGACTCTTTATTTACAGCTTTATTGGTTTCGTTTGATCGCCCCGCAGGTGGCCATAAAGATCATTGACAAGACGCAGCTGGATGCCGTCAACCTGGAGAAGATCTACAGAGAAGTTCAGATCATGAAGATGCTGGACCACCCCCACATTATCAAGCTCTACCAGGTAGGTGTTCGCCATCTGAACCTGACATCTTACAATATTTATCAGCTTTATCAGATATCATTGACTCATGCTGAACAGTAAACATCATTCCATTTTATTTTTTTGGTCATTCAACATCTGTGCTTCATAAAGGCCAGGAAAAAAACTTTTATAAAGTTGTTAAAAGCCTTGGTTCATCATTCTTTATACATACTTTTCAAGATTTAGTTTTCTTATACAGCTATTCAAGAACTTATAAAAAATATAGGGTCTCCCAAGTCTGCCCATGTTTTCTGTAGAATTGAATCTTCTGAACCATTTTTGTCTGAAACACAATTGTTTTGTTTTTTCCCCATGGTCATAAACACATAAAATACTGCAGTGTCCTTGAATAAAAATGGAATAAAGATGGAATACTAGCCACCATTTGTGTAAACAAATAATCAAGAAATGAGAAAGTTGGTGAAATGTACATTAGAGGTTTAGATGTACTTATAGACCAAAGCTTTGGTGGCATATCTTGGTTTTGATGTTTGATTTAATAGACTAAAATAAAGAAAATCTCTAGTCTGCACACCAGATAACTCATCACTGGCAGACACCTTTGAAGTAATAAATGATTTGAATGCATTTGATAAATAATAACTATTAATACAATACCTTGGGAATATTTAAAAAGAGACTTGCTTCAGGGTCAAAAGTCTGTTGCTTTATGTCTCATACTGGCTTTACTGGAATATTTTAAGACGGATCCGGATCTTGATCGAAATCGTCCCGAAATTACTTGTATATAGAAAAATAGCCAGACGTATCTAGTTATTTTTATCCTTCAAACACAACCTCCCCTCCCCTCAGGTAAAGACTATTGTTCTATCATATCTTTAGTAATCACGCTCACATTTTGGCATGTGTTATCTGCAAGGGAGTGGCATGATTACCTCAAATTAAGAAGATTAAAAGCAAAGACTTTGGTCCGCAGATATATCTAGATTAAGTGAACTGCGACGGCTCATTAGCGAATACCCAACACCCCCCGAGAGGAGCTGAACGCTCGTCTTTGTCTCTGGCTTTCAGAGGGTCTCTAGCAAAGCTCTCCCTGGAGCGCACTGTACCGTTTGTTAGAAAGCCTGTTTAGAAAAATGAGAGAGATCTCAGTTGTGACCAGAGAAAGTCCTGAACCAATGCCTTGCTTATTTAAAGGCATTTCTGCAAAGGTTTGCTTTAATTGTTATATAAAGAATCAGATCCAGACCACTACATGTAATACATGTGTTTAAAAACATCTTATAAATGTGTAATAACTCATGTTTTGGAAGAACTATTATGTAAAAGGGCTTTGAAGGAAGTTTATATAGACACAATAAGCAAATTATCTTAATTCTAAAACAAAATTCTCTGAAAAGACAGTAGTTGGTTATTTTTTTTTTTTTTTGTATAATTGGACTTTTAAAGAATACTTTTCTAAATAGGAGCTCTATGCGGTCAGAACCTGACGGCAAAAGTTTAAGAAGCTAACGGCCGAGTGCTACTGTTGAATGTCTACGTGCTTCCCGGGTCCGATTGTTGGTGTTATCCAAGTCAAAGTCTGCCTTCGTGCAGGCTGTCTGAGATCAGGGTTCACAGAGTAATATGTAACGCATGTTGCAGACTCTCTATAAACACATGTTTAAACGGGGCGGCCGGTGGGGGGCTATACAGTGAACCATCGCTTTTTGATCATCTTCTTTTGTGGTTTCTTAAGCAGCTGGGGGTGTTGAAGCACGAGATTAGTCCAGGCCATGTTCTAATACATAAGCAAACAGATCCTCTGCTTGATAGTTACAGAACATAGTTAATGACTGACTGAGTGCCTCAGTGCCGTCTCCCTGCTTGCTCCCTAGCCAAGGAAAAGCTAGATCGTCACCCTTTAGCTCTATTCTGGAGATGATGATCTTTCATCACATATCCACCCTTTGATTAACTGGCGCTTCTAAAATGAGTAGCATTTAGTTAGACATTGTAAACTATAAATCTAAGTTTGTTGCTGGGAGTTGTCGCTAGTTGTTAGCAAGAAAGAGTTTCTTAAATTATAACCTGTAATAGGGAGATGGGTTCGATATGTAAGTTTTACCCCCCCATTCTACATTATTGCTGTCACTCACTTTTTGGGCTTAAAAAAAAAATACAAATAATACAATACAAATAACCCTGTTTCCAAATGGGATTTCTATATAAAATATGAATACTAGGAAAACAAAACCCTCGCTTTGTGCACATGAGTATGTTAACATGAAACTCCACCAATGCATTTCTTCCATGAATAAATTGAAACCACTTTTTTACATATTTTACAAAAAAAAAAAGCCCTTGCATTAAATCAAACCTACAATTGACTGCATTAGGTTAGTTAAGATTACTACCCTAATGGAAGAAAGAAGAATGAATGAAAGCTTGAAAATAATCTGCTGGACATTTAAATTGATCCAGACAGAGCTGGTGGAAGAAGTTCAGGTTTGTCGGCTGTTTCACTTTTTTACACTCCTGCCCATAAATTCCCTGTCAGATTTAGATTGGTGCTTCATGATGGTCTATTAAAAATAGGGCTGGGTAATAAATAATAATAAAGCAATAAAATAATTTAATAAAATTTTTTTTGTTTGTGGGGATTTGATTTTTAGAAATTAAATTTTTTTTTCCTTGAGCTTCCATAGCTGATAAACTAGCTCTCTGTGTGATGCCAAAAGCTACGCACATTCACTTTGTTGCCTTTTTTTAAGGTCACCTCCCAGAGGGGACAATTGAAATCAAAGCTAGTCAAACTGTCCTTTTTTTTTTTTTTTTTTTTTTTTGTAATGAAACCTAAATGAGAAAAAGGGAAAAAAAAAAGATTAATCAGATTTTATAGGGAAAAAATTGGGGATTTCAATTTTAAGCTATATTATCCAGCTCTTGTACAAAGGATTGATTTTTGGCAGTATGCTCACCCTCATTGATCATTCAAGAACGCTCAGTTCTTGGTGTTGCATCAATATCTCCAGAACACACGACATGAGGACTAAACCCACTTCTAATAGTCACTGTGACCAAAAATAATAGTTTTATCAGAACAGAGCACAGGGCTCCATAATATTTAATACATTTGTCTCTGTGTTTGTTTTTTACAAAGTGGCCTAACAGTCAATGTCGGGACTTCTCCCTTTGTATGGTGAAAACCGTTGGACAGCTTGAGTCAATCACTTGTTTTCCTTGGGTTGATACGCACCTTTTGGACCAACCACTCTCATCTCTGGGACCAGAACTTCTTGCTGAATAAAACCAAAGCTAGACGTTCCTGATGTGTTTGAAGGATGGGATGAACATTGCTTTTTTTTAGACAGCTGGAAATGTTTGCAAGGAGTAACTATGGCTGTGATGGTCCACTGTGGGGACAGACTTATGCTTAGGGTCTTATTGTAATGCATCCACCTCTGTGTCTCCTTATGTGAACTGACGTTTTAGAAGCTTAAAAGACCCTGAGATCACCTTCGAGGCTTTTCAAAATTAGATTAAGGCATTGTGATCTTTGTGTATATTAACAATTACATTTGAAGATGAATCCCCTTTACCCAGTGTATCTCTCATTATTCTGGTTGACGGTAAATGACAATAATTGTCCTTAACAAGACTGAGCTTTATTCCATCAGGCTTTAATTATCTGATTCTTTTTTTGTGTGTGTCTTTCTATGCGTCTTAAAAGTTTTTCCTGCTGTACGTTTTGTGATTTTTGTGTCTATGAAATTGGCTTTATAAATGCACCTTACCAACCAAAAAGGGAGACGTTTAGTTTGATCTAATCAGAGATTTAAATGGAGAAAAAGGAGCCATCTTTGCATGAATGCATCTGTAATATCCACCTATATATTCGGTACATATCCAGCTGTAAATTTAGTTCATAATACTAGTTATCTATATAGATTATATTCATAGGACAAATCTATTAGTAAGATTCTATTTATAATGGTATTCATCTCTATGCTTATTCAGTAGAAACTCATGTCCTGTATTTATGGAACCATTATTTATTCTGCACTTGCTGCTATTGCACTTCTGGTTAGACCTAAACTACATTTTGTTGCCTTGTACCTGTACCTTGGCAATAACAATAAAGTTGATTCTAATCTAATCTGGTAAACATTTTAATTCTAAGGACATTAAGTAAATTTAAGAGCTATTAGATGCGTATATCAGCAGTGTATGTTTTATTTTGTAGAGATTGTTTTGTTCCCCCTTGCATCGTTTTTTACCTTTTTAATAAAAGAAAAAAACTCTCAGAAATGCAACAGTTTCAAAAGTTTCTTTTACAAAATGTTTTTTTCCGTTGTCGCTGCGAAGAAGAAAAAAACCTTGTTACATAAACGACCCAGTCCTGCTCTTTCATTTAGGGAACGTAAATAAATGTTCATTATCATCTCAAAACCATGTGACACTGGTCCATCTATGTGCTGGGTTATTTTAGTACGTTTCATTATTTTAAATTTTTTTCCTTCAGCAGGCCCTGGTCTGTCCAATCAGCTCGGCTCAATTATTTTGTTCTCTTCCCTCCTCATAAACTGGGGCTGACCCTGTGGCCTTAGGAAAGTCTATCTAATGAAGACAGACAAAGGACACAAATTAACTCCTTGTTTTTTGTGTTAATAGCCCTTTCTATGACCCCCGGCCGACCATTATTTTCTGCATTTCGTTCTCATCCTGCTCTCCTCTGACTCTCCTGGGTGCTCCTTTCTGCTTTCCCGTTTACCTGCCAGTAGTCTTCCTGCAAGTGTAAAGGTTTCCAAATGACAGAGGAGCTTTGTCTGTACCAATCTGCAATGTGAGGCCTAGAGAATATTTAAATTTCATATAACAAGAAAAGATCCTTGAATTTATCCATAAATAATGTAGAGATGCATTTAACCGTTACAGGATGTGGGCACTCAAAAGGACTGGAGTTTGCATTAGAAGAGTTAAATCAATAAAAGGTTTTTCAATTATTTAAATTACTGCTATGTAAACATTAAATGAGTACGAGTTTATTTAACACTCAGTTAACCACAGGAGGCAATTCTGTTCTCTATTGCAACAGTATAAGTAGAGGAAATGGAGACGAGTGCAAGAAAACACTAATATTTATCGCTTTTTCTCTTTTTGCAGTTTCTTCTTTTTTGTGGAAAATTCATTTTTTAAAACCCAAACGTTTTAAATATTTGTGCCAAAAATGCACTTCTGCTTTTGTTTTCTGCATTTCCTGTCAACAACAGCAGTTTTGTCTGTGTCTTTACATGGAGGCCATCTAAGGGGTGTTGCCTTTGTAAATGAATAAACCACAAGTAGCAAACTGACTGACATTTACTTATTACACTACTGAATACATTTCCGACATAAAATGACATGTATAAACATCCATAACTTGCACTCGGTGTATCACAAACTAAACCTGGTAACTCATTATTAGTAGCAAATTATCCAGAGTGTTCATGGAGGAAACTGCAGATGATTAAGAGATCTGAAATCAAATAAAAATTCCCTCAACTTGCAAGAGATTCTGGATTATCAGTAAAGTCACACATCCAGGTCTGGAGTAGAATAGAAAGCAGAATATGAATACAAATTTAATATTTCCAACTTATCCATTCATCCCATTGCCTCTTTTTAATTCAATTATTCAGTGGAATACTCTTTGTCCATCTGTCCAGCGTATTTTGCTTACATAAATACAGTCTCACCACTGTCTAAAGATCCTAATTTTTAAGTAAAGATCTGGATTTTTAAGTTTTATTTTTTTTTTCTCTGTTAATATGTTAAGAATTATGAAAGTTTTACAGCCACCCTAATGGTAAGAACAATGTGAATGCTCCAGGTTACTCACACTTAATCAATAAATTGTTTGACACAGAGGGCAGAATATTTTTGCTAAACTACCCAGCATTCTTTTTTTTTTATTGCCCAAATTCATGAATTGTTTTGTGCAACAGATGGAATACTGATTTCAAAAGAGGAGTGTGGGATTTCTAGTGTGAATGTCTGGCTGGCAGTGTCTGATTCATCCCACCGTCCTCATCTGATGCTCCACTCGGCGGTTTAATTCTATTCATATCCTGAGTGTTTCTGCTTTTAAATCGGTCCTCCTACACAACCCAGCACCATGTCAGGACTGAAAGGTCTAAAGTACCATTCAGATCCACTCAGCAACACCAACCGTCCACCTTCGTTCTTTTACATGGATGCCGTATTTAGAGCCTGTTGCCATTCATATGTTTTGTTTGTGTGGGATTTTTCTGAATGCCAAGTTTGTATTATTTAGAATGTTTTAATGCTCTCTGCGGTCTGTTCATGTCAATTCTCTGGTAAAATGACTTCTGAAAAATAGTTTCTTTGTGTATTTACACACATTTTGTTTTTCTTCCCTTCCTTTTTGCTCCCTGTTCCTTCATCATCTGTTTTCCTCAGGTGATGGAGACGAAGAACATGCTTTATTTGGTCACAGAGTATGCAAAGAATGGGGAGATCTTTGGTAAGTTTTTTATTTTAAAATTGACCTTACTTGTCTAACCAAACTCTCACATTCTTCCTCCTTCTGACAAACATTAAAGTGTTGAAGTCTTATTGAGCTTACGTTGCACTCTGCTTTGTAGCCCTAATCTCAAAGGTCACATGATTGATGGAAATCTGAGAACAATGCTCTAATGTAACCCTCCTCTTGTCCTGCCGAAGTTGTTCTTGTATAATTGACATATGAATGACATCACTAAAAGCCTGTTAAGGCCTCAGAAAGGCAGCCTCAAAGAGATAAAGGTTAATTAATGACTACTAGTGCTGCACATTCAGTTCCAATGGACCATTTTACTGTTAAATGTCAAGATATGACTTTCTACCATCTGCTCTGTCATTCCCCCTCTTGATTAAAATTGCTTTTATATTACATCTAAATATTGCCTCTTAAGCCCACATCAGACCTGAATTGCAATATAATTTGTCCTGACTGCATTGACAAGGCTGATGGTTTTAGTTTATTTCTGTTTGAACTATTTAAGCAGTTTTGTATTGTGTAACAGGAATCAAACATGTGACTGGAGCGACGAAGAAGCTCCAAGCTTTCTGAACAAACAGTCTTTATAAGCCCCCAGTTTATATGGTAGAAATCCATTAATGTTGATGAAGCTTAAGGGTGAATGCAGAAAAAGTTCGATTTAGTTTTATGAGAAACTGTAAATTTGAAATGCAAAATAGTGCTTCTTTTATAGGTGGTCACTGAATAGAAAAACCTTTTTTTGTATCATTTTAAAATCTTGTGTTTAAGAAGACTAACTTTAAAAAAAATGAAACTTTTACTCATTCCACGCTATACTTTGAAAACAACTACCTCTGACTTAAACCACAATAAAAACAGGGCAAAAACACATTCATATAATCAGAATTCACGTAATTTAAACACATGCTGCAATTATAATAAAGTTTAATTAATTCATGTCTTTACTATAAAGCTGCAGTCAGTTTTAGATCAATTGTTTTGATCTAAATGGAAAAAGAACAAATTCTGGAATTACAAAAAATACTAATCTCCATGAGATAAGGAATTGAAACAAAGAAAAAATATTTAAAATTTTAGACAGTTCATTGAGACATTTTACTGGAGGACTAACATATATGCCCTGGTACAAGTTAGCCCAGACAAGTCAGAACACAGCAAGAATAGCACTTGGAGATAAGAACTTATCTTGGTCTACCATGGCACTCTTGTGCGCTCAATCGCTGTCGCATATGCACGGCACAAGCACAGTTTGTACAATATGTACAGACTGCAATCTTCAATCCAGCCTATTGGACATGGGCCTGCAGAAATGGCTGGTTGTAGTTATGTTTAGTCGGAAACCAAAAATGAGAAGAACTTTGCAGCTCATGAAAAGAGATCGGTCATAAATAAAAATTTTACATTTCACTCACTGATGTTTTTTTTTTCTGTTTTTGTTTTTTTTACTTTATAAAAAAGTAGAAAAAATCAAATATTTTCACAGCAAGTTTAAGTATAAAAAAAAAAAAAAAAAAAAAAAAGTGTTTAATCATTTATTGAGGAAGTGACAGTGCAGAAAAAGGATTAGATGACCAAATAAAAAAAGAAGCTGCTATCGGATAATGCATATTAAGTTGAAGGGTGAATAGCCAAGTCATATGTAGATACAAAAAAGACCAAAAACAATTGTTTTCATGATAAAATAGTATTTAAAATAGTGTTTTTATATTCCTTTTTATGAGTCTAAATAGAATTCCAGCATTGGGTGCAGTGAGCAGACATAAGCAGACTAGGAGCCGTCTACAGACAGCACCATGGAACTATCTGAAAGGCGGATAGCGATAGGCAACGCATCTACTTAATAGAGCCTGTTCGTCCTGCAGTGCCACACAGTAAAGCGATGGCACAGCATGGTCGGAGACAGTCTGATAATAACTAAATAAACCCCTCCAAAGCAACTCTAATTTCTATTAAATCCTTCCCAAAGCCTTTTCAGTTAGAAGATCAAGGGAAAGAAAATTCTTGTTCCTAGCATGCAGGGACCGTTTGCTAGGAACATCCATAATCCATAATCTCGGCTGTGATAGCTCCGGCTTCAATGAATTCCAGCATTTGTACTTTATTCCGATTGCTATTCCAATCTTATCCCTTTTGGAATCAAATATTTTATGCTTTTTTTAGACTGGATGTTGAACCTCTCTTTACTATTTTCACAACTCCACTGGAAAGTGACGTAGCTGCATTATTTATCCTCTGCCCACACGCACAACAATTGTACCTCCATTGTTATTCTTAATATGCATACATGACTATTTTTATTAAGAAATTTTGCAAAAACAAAGTGTAAAAATAAAAAATGATACCCCAGGAAGATTCAGTAATCCATTAAAAACACCTTGTGTGCAACCAGGTTGAATTACTGGTGTAAAATAAAAAAAGTCTTAATTTGACTATATACATTTTTAAAAGTAAGAAAAGAAAGGTGGATGAATGCATTATTGGTTTCCGTTGAAAGGAACTGATATAGTTAGTCTAACTGCTTATATAGGCTTTGTTTACAGTCTCAAAATTGGAATTAATGTTAATGTAAATTTATATGATTAATTATAGAGTAATAACAGAAATTTGTACATTTATATGTATTAGCTACACATTTCTGTTCTACTCTCCATAGTTTACATGTATGTAGCTTTACATCAATGCACAATAGTGGCACCAGGTGGGGCGACTTCATGTGGGAACTATTCAATAAAAAAAATCATTGCTGTACCTTCCAATGGCAGCACAAGGGAGATAGCCTTTACCATGTATAACAAACTTCAGAGAACATTCATTCATCTTGCACTTTCACAAAATGCTTAGTAAATAAAGTCAACCAACTCATGCTTTGCATCCCTTTTTTTAACTAGAAATTCAGCAGTATGTGAAGGGGGCATTTAAGATCTTGTTTTAATGAGGTCATGCTTTACTCAGTTAGCTCCTTAACCTCCAAAGACCTTGTCGACACATGAGTGTCAGCTTCCATTCCTAAAGCAGGTTTAATGTCTCAATAAGAAGAATGAAAAACTATACCTGTTTGGACGAAGTCTTTTAGCACTCAAAAATACTACACATTTACATAATGCTGGATAAAAGGCTTTTGAGCATCTTCTTGATAATAGAGCCTCACCTTTGACACTGGCTGGGAATGTTTGCAACATAACCTACTTTAGGCAGAGACGATGAGAGGATTACTTGAGCCACGCGCTGTGTCCGTCGTCATGTACGTATGCTTATTCATGTGCACCTGTGCCAGAGTCCAGGGTTCCACTGATGTTGACTCGGCAGCAGCATTTCCTGAAGAGTATGGGGGGGCAATTAAGAGTGCAGCTTTCTAGTACATAAGAAACTGCATAACCTATCAGCTAATCCATTGTTGTATACAATTGTAAGAATACATATCATAGTTTTTGCTTTATCTTCTGACTTAAAGGAGAATTCCGGTTTTTAACACTTTTAGCCCATTTTCTGTAGTGTCCAGGATGAAATCGAATGATCGACACCAAAATTTTGACAATTGGTCCTGTCTCTGCTTTTTGGCTCATTTAGAATCCACCCCTGGCTGCTTCAGAATGGCTTACATAGAGCATGTCCGATAATGTCCTTAAAACAACCTTAAATGTTCTTTTTTTAAAATATGCTACTCACCGGGTCGTCAGCGCTGTTCAATGACGTTCCAAAAAAAGTTTCGTAAAGAAAAAAACGTTCCTGTAGTGTTTTATTTCGCATTTTGTAAATCCCATTGAGTTCTGTTGGAATAGTCAATATTCCGCTGCCACCGGAAACGGAAATGGGGCCTGTTTACACAGTTGTAGTCTTTTCGCTTCACTCTGTGTACTCCGACGTCGAGAATCAAGAATCCACCTTTCGTATTCCATTTTCAGAGTTTTTTAAAGTGTTTAACAGAGACGTTAGCACCTCGACGTCGGAGTACACAGAGTGAAGCGAAAAGACTACAACTGTGTAAACAGGCCCCATTTCCGTTTCCGGTGGCAGCGGAATATTGACTATTCCAACAGAACTCAATGGGATTTACAAAATGCTAAATAAAACACTACAGGAACGTTTTTTCTTTACGAAACTTTTTTTGGAACGTCATTGAACAGCGCTGACGACCCGGTGAGTAGCATATTTTAAAAAAAGAACGTTTAAGGTTGTTTTAAGGACATTATCGGACATGCACTATGTAAGCCATTCTGAAGCAGCCAGGGGGGGATTCTAAATGAGCCAAAAAGCAGAGACAGGACCAATTGTCAAAATTTTGGTGTCGATCATTCGATTTCATCCTGGACACTACAGAAAATGGGCTAAAAGTGTTAAAAACCGGAATTCTCCTTTAAATGCTTTCTTCTACAACCTTTTTTTGTATTTGAGGGTTTTTCGAACTATAAATTGCTTAAAGGAATAGTACAGCCAAAACATGATTAGCCTTCATTTTCTACTCACCCCCATGCTGAACAACACTCTGGAGTACTTTTTTGATATCTCAAATGCATCTGGAGATCTGGGAGGCTTCTTGCTGTCTGCTGACATTCAAATAATGGAGGTCTATGGTGCCCAAGGCAGAAAGGTCCATAAAAGTCCACAAAAAACGTGTCAATATTCCCCCATACTGCTTGTCCAATGTATTCCAAGTGTCCTGAGTGGGTAGCGTCCATAATTTACTCGAAACGAAGTCATTTAGAATGTTTTTAGAGCATAAACAGTAGTGTATAGGATTTCCTAAAAGCGCGCGCCTGCGCGTTTACGACGCTGCGGAAGCCGGCAGACCAAAACCAGATGAAAGTGCGCATTCAGCGTCTGCTCTGCCGATAATGCAAGCGTAGAAGAAGAAATGTGCTGTTTACCTGTGCAAAGAAAGAAACAACGAAAGAAAAATGTCTGAGGACTTCAGTGTTGAGGAAAGAGCATGAGTTCTTTGCCGAGCTGAATGCGCACTTTCATCTGGTTTGGTCTGCCGCAGT